CTAAGGAATCTACTCCTGAAATCATTGTTGCACTAGATGCTAATCTGGTTGTAAATTAAAAAAATAATAATAAAACAAGTTAAAATTAAAAAAAAAACCAAAAAAATCTGTTCATATTTGAAAATAAATAAAAAGGAAATAGTGTCTGACTTTTCCTCTACCCACCCATGCATAAGTGGGTAGGTACCCAAACCATTCGTGTTGAGTGTCTTTTCATTATAAAAATTTTTTTGGCTGTGCTTCTGAAAATTCTTACCTTCCAACTGATAATACCAAATTAAACGTAATGAACAACAACTTCAAAAAGATATGTTCTCCAGAATGTGGGGATCTCAGGAGTGCTTGAATTGCCGGTGGAGGTGTTGAGAAAGATTCTCCTTCAACAGCCCCAAAAGCAAAGTGGAGAATATTATTTGAAGAATGCAAAATGGCAGTCATTTTGGGATATAGTTTGGTAGTTTCTTTTACACACATTTTCCATATGACCCAGCTGTCCCACTCCTAGGAATTTAATGAAGTCAATTGAACATTTGTATTTCCACAAAAAACCCTCCATGCAAATGTTTATAGTAGTTTTACTTATAATCACTGAAAACGTGGAAATAACCCAGAAGTCTTTCTGCAGATTAATGGATTTTTAAACAAATAACTATGGTGCATGCATAAGATGCAGTACTACTAAGCAAGGAAAGAGGATTGAACCATTGATTCATGAAACATGGATGAATCTTATATGCATTTTGTTAACAAAGCCAGACCAAAAAGGTAAGGCACTATATGATTCCATTTACAGGACATTCTGGAAAAAGGAAAACAGAGAAGGAATACAGATCAATGGTTGCCAGAGGAGGAGGACAGAGCTGGAGTTCAAAGAGACAACACTAAGGAATTTGGGGATGACAGAACTGTTCTGTTGGGTAATGTGGTAGCAGATACAGGACTCCTTGCCTTTGTCAAACCCATAGAAGCATACATCTCAAAGAGTGTGTGCAAATTTAAAACTAAATTTGCTCTTATATGTTTTAGAAATCACAATCATGGGTTCATGGTCTTCCCCTTCTCTAAATCAATTTTTTAAAGGACTTTTTAAACAAAGTTTGAAATTGGCAGCAATAATGTCAAAGTCATTAATTAGAATATTTTAAAAATATATGTATTAGTTCTATATGTGAACATTCCCAAATTCAAATACTCTATGCTAAGCTCAGCAAATTAGACATGATCTGTATTATGCATCCAGCACTGCTTTAAGTTTTGTACTTTTTATACAATTATATTTATGAAATTTCTTTAATACCAAAACTTACATTATAAATATTACTGTTTCTGAGAGACTATCCTTTTTGGTCTTTACTAAAAGTTCTTCTTATAGTACATTTTTTTAAAACAAGAGGTTTCTTTGGATTGCAATCCCTATGGCACAGTCTTCACTAAGACTGCATAAGAGATAAGATGCTACTCCTCCAAGGACTGGGATCTAGCACCAATCTTTAGAATATTAAATTTTAATGGGACAGAATAATACCATTCTCCAGCACTCAAATCACTGATGAGATATTCACTTTCACTGCTCTCAAATCATCATCTCAAAAAACTTACAGAAGATGAAGAAAGTTCACTCTTGAGATTTCACACCATTATAAACAGAACACTCTCTTCCTTTGAAAAGCCATAACTACCCTGTGGGCCACTGTTTTTCTTCTGATAATCTCCATCCAAGTGTCCAAATGTACCTACCTGACGATTCAGGTATGCTTTCCATGGAAGATATGCTGGAGTCATAACATGTAGCAGACTCTATCCCACTTTCATGAACAGATTCCTGCAGTCCATACTGCTTGACTCTTATAAGATCAACTTGATCCTGGGAATTTTCAAAAGAGAAGATGACATTTCAATTTGGAGAAAGAGATATATAAACAATAGGAAACACTGGCAGAACACAAACTTGGATGCATTTCACATCACAATTTCCAACATTGCTTCTATCAATTAAATACCTAAACAAAACCATCATTAAACATGTTCTTGAAAAACACTGCTGGAAGGTAATAACGAGCAGAGATTATGGGTGCAACATGCTATACATTGTCAAAACTGAGAAAATAAACACAGTACAGATGTGCTTAAAGCACAAGCATAAGAGAAATGTGTGCCATCAAAGGCCATGGCAAAAAAAATACACACCTCTCAGAGGTGTTGGTAGGATGCTGATGTGACTGTGGGAGAAGGGCACCACCACCACTAGCAAGGCCATTTCTCCAGAGGTCCTGCACATGCAGCCTGTACTGACTGCAAGGAAAGGTCAGTTGAGGCTGATTAACGACTACTTCTAATCTGCATTTAAGCCATGAAGTAGGCTTAAATGCACATTACACTTGGAAGTATTATTAGCAAAAGCATCTTTACTCTGTGTACTAGTAGCACAGAGATGGAAATGGCCCTGGAGAGCTTCTAGTGCAACCTCCCCATTTGATAGTGTCAAAGAAGAGAAGGTCATACAGCAAGTTAGTAGCAGAGTGAAAGGTAGAATCCAATGACTCCTTGGCACAAGAACAGACACTCAGATCAATGGAACAGAATAGAGAACCCAGAAATGGACCCACAAACGTATGGCCAACTAATCTTTGACAAAGCAGGAATGAATATCCAATG